CCCCAACCCCAACCCCTTCCCTTCCATTGCACATAAAGAATAGTAACACAATACCCCCTTCCCTCCACTTCACATGCCACATTCCCCATTCCTAATTCCCTGCACATCCTTGAACGTCGAGGAGAGAGAGAAGAGTGGTTTTGTTTCTATAAACCCGTTTTCTGTCCGTCTCACTTCCTGGACAGATATGAATACTTACTCCAGAAGCCCGGATCGCCCCATTCCCCGCCACTGCACTGCAACGTTTTTTTATTGAAAAAAAAACACTGTGTCACGCCCACTTCACTTTTTACAAGGTCCGCCAAAGTTGAATTTTTTATTTTATTTTTCAGATGAAGGGAAATTAGAAAGAAGGAAATATGTCATGTAATTGCGTCCACCCTTTGGTGTCCAGGTCGGGGTTTACAAAGGGGATTTTCTTTTGGCGCCGGGGGAGGGAGAGAGAGAGGAGGGAGGGACAGATGAGAGAAGGAGAGACGGATGGATTCCTTCTTCTCCCCCTCCCCCCTCTCCCCGCTTCTTCTCTCCCCTGAAATAAGAAAAAAAAAAGTCATGTAGAAATCGGATTAAACCAAAAATGGGAGTCCAATGGTTATTTGTTTTTCAATGTATTCCGTCTTTTTTTTTTCCTTTATTTTCCTTCCTAATTTTTTTTATAAAAAAATAAAATCCCTGTGCCTTTCTTACATGTGAGCGTGCTGTCGAGATGGTAATACATGTACTATGGCGTAATGATAATATGCACTTTTACCTTTGCTTGTTCTTCTTTCTCTCTTCTCTCTCTTTTCTTCTTTCCATATCGAAAATCAATACTAGTATTATTTACGATGATTTTTTTTATACCTATTTTTTACCTACCTACCTAGAGGTCAATACGCGTATGACTTGCGTACCAAACAGAAATCCTCTTTTCCCTTTCCTCTTTCCCTTTTCGGGTCGAACGCGTCAACGAGTGATATACCGCCTACTAACAATACTACTCTGCTCTGCTCTACTCTTACCTTCTCTTCTTTCTTTCCTTTTTTCTTTTCTTTTCTCAGCAAAAGTGTGTGTGTGTGTGTGTGGGGGGGGGGGGGGGGNTTTTTCTTTTCTTTTCTCAGCAAAAGTGTGTGTGTGTGTGTGTGGGGGGGGGGGGGGGGGGGACAAGAAAGGAAGAAAGGAAGAAAGGAAGAAAGGAAGAAAGGAAGAAAGGAAGAAAGGAAAAAAAAAGTGTATAGAGTGCACATTGGTATATTACCTGCAATACTTGCTTTTCCCCTCTTCTCTTCTCTTCTTTTCTTTTCTTTTTTTCTTTCTCTTCTTCTCTTTCTTTCCTTCTCTCATCAGACTAATAATATTATATATATAGTCGTTTAATCTCCAATCGTACTTGCCTGTTCCCTCCCCCTCCCCCTCTTCCAATAACTAGGCAGTGATTACAAAAGAGGGAAAAAGAAAAGAAAGAGAAAAAAGAAATACACCGCTTTATTGTACATGTGTATTCTTCCTTTCTTCCTCATGTGACTTGGGAAGTGGTATATGCAAAGGAAAACCGGGGGAAAAAAACAAGAGAATCTAAAACATCTACTTCTATCAGCTTTAGACAAAAAAACGACTAAAAAGAAGAAGAAGAAATGAAGAAAGGGGAAGAGAGAGAGAAAGAGAGAAAAAAATAGTCAAATCATGGCTCATCAGTCATATGCGCTTTACATCTACCCCCCTCTTTTTCACCCAAATCAATACTAGTCTACCCATGATGCATACTTGTTCCATCTCCCAGATGATTCACCAATGTACGATTGAAGCTCATTCTCGAATCCGTCATTACGCGGCCCTAGTTCCGCACCAGGGTAGAATGCTGCAGTCGTAGATGTCATAGGGATCGAGGAGGCGAAAGGAGTGGTGTCGTAAGTTGAGTGCGATGCTGTCGGTGCGCTCGCAGCTCTGGCAGCAGCAGCAGGGTGCGCGCTGTCATACCTGTCCACAAGGACGCCCATGTTGTCGACGGTAGGGGTTGGCTGCTGCTGCTGCTGCTGCTGCTGCTGTTGTTGATGATGATGATGGTGGTGGTGCATGGCAGCTGTACGTTGAAAGTACATGGAGGCGTGCGGCTGAGCTGCTGATACCATGAGACCGTCAAACGAGGGAAATGTATTCGGGTGCGGCGGGACCGGGTCTTCCCGGTGCTGTTGATGTTGTTGCTGCTGGCTATAGTCAAACGCCGTAGCAGGCTGGGAGTACATGGATCCGGAAAAGGATGACGACATATCTCGCGACTGCTGCGACTGGACTGGGGTGGAAGGCGGTGCGGATTCCCAGGTTAGCATGTCGGGTGGTGACTGGACCTTGCCCTCGGTCATGGAGCCCTCGTGGGCCAGTGGGAGGGCGTCTGGGTCGCGGAAGATCTTGTTGAGCGAGTCGATCCATCGCGAGGCAAGCGGCCAGACTCTCCTGCATTGGAGGAGAATGGCCTGCGTGCGGGAGAGTATGTGCGGGCCGGCAGCAGCAATAGCACGGTCAGGGCAAACTGATGAACGTATCCTGTCAGCCACATCTTTTCCGACGAGAAAAAAAAGAAAAGAAAGGGAGAGAGAGAACAGAGCAGGGAGAGTTGTAGCCGAGGAGAGGAAGTAAGAGAGAGAGTCAAGAAAGAAGGGAAGAATGAAAAATAGATGATAGAATAGGGAGAGGGGAAGCATACTGTTTGGGAACTTGCACAGATAGGAAGAAAACAGGCCACAGCTGTAGATGCAAAAGGCAGTCATCTGGGCACCGACACTCTCGTCTACGGATCGGCTGGTGAACTGTGCATCGATCTGTTCAAACAGACCGCAGACATTGGAGAAGAGCTGGACCGACATGTTCGAAAAGAAGAGTCTTTCGTGCTCCATCTTCTGATCAAGCTTGACGATCCTGTCATCGACTGTCAGCGCATTCACGCTCCCGAAGCCTCGACTTGTGAAACACCGCCGGGAGATTGGGAATAAGCTCACTCGGCTAGATACGGCCGACGAGCGACAATGTTGCAAAGCCTCGTCATCATGGTTATACTTAGATAGCCCTGGAAGGACATTAGCAAACCGCCGAATGACGGGTAACAACCCCTCCCTCCTTTTCTCTCTGCCCCGGGACATCTACCTACAAGGTCTTGACTCTCAGACTTGTGCTTCTGGAGCATAGCGGCGCTCCACCTGTGCTCTATCGGCAGCGACGCCTCCCAATTGCTCAGCATGTCCATCATCTGGGCCGAATGGCTGCCGGGGTCCCATGGGCACGAGCTCCGGGAATAGCTGATGGCTCGACGACTGACCGTGCCCCAAAAGTAATGGATCTGGATGAAAGAGGCAAATAGCGAGCGGTCCGGGTCGTTCAACAGAGACGGGCTCTTGATAGCTGGGAGCGTATCGGCGAGGGCAGCGCGGCGGCCCGGGAGGCGGCCAGCAGCGAAATCGGCCTCGTCGCTCGGGAGAAGTGCTGTGATATCCGAGGCGGCCAAGGATACGGGGTAGAACGGGCCCGAGTGGATACTGTCTTGGCTATATAGGAGCCACTGGGGGTTCGGTAAGCATACCGTCCACAGAGAGGCAAGGTGTGCCGACTAGATGTGAGATGGAGAGATGCTCACCAGAGTACGACGGGCAGATTCAGAACGTATGACAGCTTCGGGGTTCACCTGAGCGATCCGATAGGTCTCCTCGCGATGCAGCTGCAGGAGGGTGGCCAGACGCATGGCGATTCCCATGTTGATCTAGACTATGTCAGCATTGCTCCCCTCCTTCCTGGATCTCGTCATCTCATGTTTCGAGGTTTCGAGGTTTCCGCAGTGACCGGGTCTTTGCTGGGAAACACACATGACTCTTGTTTCCGAGGCCATTCCCCTGCTGGGAGATGCTGAGCAGGTAAAAGGCCTGACACCTCTCCAGCGTAGGTTTCTGGTAGATCTCGCCAACGGCCATAGTGGCGGCACGCTCCATGAAGAACTCGGCCGCCGCGATTCCCGAACCGAACCGGCCTATGAGGGCGGGAGTCAGACGGGCCGAGACGCTCAGGATGCTGAGAAGGAGGAAGAGATCGACGGACTGGGGACTCTTGCGAAGTCTGTCGATGAACTGCCGCTTCGGGATGAAACCCAGCTGGAAGGATTGACGGGTGAATCGGTCGACGGCATCGATGATCTCGTCGAGCGGCGGAAGGGGCTCACAGTCCTCGCCGGGTGAGGATCCACTGTCCTGGACTCCGGAATCGAGCAATCTTCGACGGACCTTGGCCGTGTCCTTCCTGGTGCCTGTCTTGGTCGACCTGATGCGCGGATGGCGATACTGGCGGTCATTGTCTGGCTGGCCTCTGACAGGGAAGATGCTGCGGATCGAAGATGCATCAATACAGGTTAGTATCAGGTTCCACTAGCCGCCCCCCCTTTTTGGTAGCTCTTGTCAGGCTGTCACCTGCAACCTCTTGTCGCCAAGGCTTGTGCTCAATGCATTGCATTACATACCAGTCCTGGGCCTCAAGACCAGCCTCATCACAGGCTTTGCAAGGTGGAAGGGCCTTTTCATGAACACACTTGCTCCTCATGCGACGACATCTGCGTATGAGGGAGAAGAAAGGGAGTAAAATCTTGTTAGCCAGATTACAGGTTGCGTGATACCCGAGCCGCGAGAGAGGGAGAGAGAGGGAGAGAGAGAGGGAGAGAGAGAGAGCGAGCAAGCGCGGGAACAGGCACCGGACAGGAAGAAGGTTCTTACCTCCGACAGGCTATAGGAGCCCTACGCCGTATAGATGGGCTTGCCTCTTGGGAATGAGTGAGGTCAGCGCCTCCCGCCGACTCGGCAACGAAGGGGTGGGCGGTAACACCGTGCCCCACGAAGTCCATGATAAAGTTGCGAGCAAGATTCGAGAAGAGCCGGTCACCGCAACGGCGGGGCGAGAAGGGGTAAAGCGGCCTCGAACACACTTGTCGTTGTTTAATTTAATTGATCTTTATTCTTTATTTCCTTTTTGGCGGTCGTAGCCGTGGCGCTAGATGGAGATAGGCCGTCGCGATCCCGAGGGGGGCGCGGGCGGGGAGGGAATGGGAGGGAAGACAGAGAGTTACCGTACCGGACGGACAGTAACAGAGAGGGATAGCACAAGATGGCAGCGTCTGCACGGCAATCTTCCATGTATTGCAGATTCCAGGCTTGCAGGCTGTGAGGGCCTGCAGGCCGGCAGCGGCCAGGGCGGGGTCTGAGTCTGGGTCTGGGTCTCTGGTGTAATACGACGATGCTGGCCTACCAGCTGTGACCAGTGCAGGCTTGTTGTGATGACGGCTGGGATCTTTTGGTGCGCGGTAGAGCGGTAAGTTGGCTCTCTGCGTGGGCGTACTGTTGGCTGCTGTGGGTGGGATGAATCCTGTCTGCCTGCCGCCCGCCAGAGAATGGAGATGAGCTTTCCTTTTTTTTTTCCCTTTTTTTTTTCTTTTTTTTTCTTTTTTTTTCTCT